ATATATATATATATATATATACATGTTGGGCATCAGATTACGTAGATCTAAAGCAATATCCTGATTGGCTCATTGATTTAAGTTTACGTCTTACGGTTATTGTTACGGAATTTTGTCTATAATAGCCCTTATATAGCATAAAAGTTATGCTGCATAAGATAATTATAGAATCACGCGTTGAAAAAAGAAAGATTAACGGAAAAATTATTGCAAGGTGAAATAAGAGCGTGAGAGATATCTCTTTTTTCTATTGAATGAAACATAATGCCCGGAAAGATAGTTGACCGGCTATAATATACGTAACTATGTATGAAGGATCAAAAAGGAAAAAAAGAAAGAAAAAAATCGGGTCTGTTACACGATCGTTCGCAGAACATAGGTACGCGACCGGAGAAAAGTTACGTATCCTTCCACGAAATCACACGACATGCAAACCAAAATCGTTTCACATACCCGTTGAGCCGCGAAGCACTAATCATGACAGTCTCGTATTTGTCTAGTTATAAATGTTCTTCAGTATTCTAACAAAACACACACGCGCGCGCGCGCGCGCGCGCGCGTGTGTGTGTGTGTGTATGTACATTAAAAAAAATCGTGGCAAGAGGAAGAAATAAAATTATCATAAATAACACTTCGCGATCCGCGCATCAGAATCAAGATCGGCTTCGTGAGAGAGAAGACCGGTTCTCTTCTCCCCGCGGTTCATTGCAAACAGTGGAAGCCCGTTTAATTGGCATGGCAGTGTGTGAGGTATTTGGCTGCCTTTACAAGAATAAGGTCGGCGAACTGCATCTTTTCGATAAAGCCGATACTCGATTCTCTGGTACATTAATCTATCTATCCAACCTATGTGTCCGTCTCAGTGTATGATTTCACCAACTACACTATCACAAAAGATATTAGGCCGTAAGCCAGCTTTGAAAGAGTAAATACGCCGACACCACAGTTAAATTACAAGCCGCGAGAGCGTATACAGAGACGGTAGCGTTTTTAATTCCGCTTTTTCTCTTCGTTTCCCCACGTTATGGAATACTCTCCAAAACCAAAAGTCTAATTATTAATGCACATATTCGGTATACTAAGATATTATCCGTCACACACGATAGAATTAGTGTTGGATCACATCCGTGTAAGGTAGGCGTGATTATTAACGATACTGTACTAAATGCAGTGAACGCTATGCGATACGAAAGTGTGTATGTACGATTTTCCCCGAATATAAAGTAACAGAACAAAACGAATTTTGTGTGTGCTTTGTTATAGAAATTTGTGATTCACATATATTAACATCCTAGTTTAAATCAAAGCTTGTATGTTACAATCCTTGAAAGAAAGATTGACAAAAAAAAGAGAAAGATAGATCAGCGATAAAGCCAATTAAGAACGAACAAATTTGTTCGCAAATAATTAATGACGAAATTTTATTTATACATAGATTGTAACATACATGCGTGTAATAGATGCTACGTATAAAAGAATCTACTATACGTTCGAATTAGAACTTTAGAATATATAACATTGGATGGAATGTCCATTTTACACTTAGCTTAATAAAATATTTCTAGCAAAATATATAAACCATTTATATGTATATGTATGTATATATATATATATATATATATACAAATATTTCTGATAATACCGACTTATAGACTTCTTTCGAGACAGAAACTTTTCGTCGGGCATTTTTTCACAGATATTAGTGAAATATCAAACATTAAAAAATACATAATCATCCAAAATTGCTTGAATATCATCATCATTGTAAT